CCCCCCCCCCCCCTACCCGACGAGGAGTAGTAGTCGACCACTAAAGCGGGCACCTGCACTATTCAGAATAGCGCGTCGATAGTGCAGGTCCGGCGCTATTGAGGCTTTGAGTTTATTATACCTCAATAGTGCAGGTCCGGCACTATTGAGGAGATGCTTGATTTCATGGTGTAGCGCTCATGCGTCGCGGGGCTAACAGAGTACGAAATGGATCGAATTACAGTAGTGCTGGGCCCTGTTCTAGCNCTAAAGCGGGCACCTGCACTATTCAGAATAGCGCGTCGATAGTGCAGGTCCGGCGCTATTGAGGCTTTGAGTTTATTATACCTCAATAGTGCAGGTCCGGCACTATTGAGGAGATGCTTGATTTCATGGTGTAGCGCTCATGCGTCGCGGGGCTAACAGAGTACGAAATGAATAGAATTACAGCAGTAGTGCTGGGCGCTGTCCTAGCGTGGGTGTGGGCAGGCTGTCCCGCGACCCGTGTGGTTCCCCCCTGTCGCACACATAGAGATGTAGAAAATTACTTGCAAGTTAAATCGTCACTTCTTCGTGTCTCAGCACTCGTACTACTGCACACCGCGAACTGTCGCATGAACCAATCGTTCAACATTTATACTTAGTGGACGAAGCTATATGTCAGTCCTCGCTGCCCTCGTTCGATGTTGCAAGATAAAAAAAAAAAACACGCCAGGAGCCGCACTTCAAGGAAACAAACAACCACTACTGCTACAGCTGTATGCAACCCCGCCCTCGCTACGTCGTGAAAAATTCTCGCATGTCTGCCTGGCGCATCCATCAACTTGAGAATCTCAAGCTTCGTGTTGTTGTTGTCTGGCCGCGCACGAGAACCAAATCCCTTCTTACTCCCCGCCATTGTTTTCTTCGGAGGTGCGTTTAGATGGATGGTCCCGCCCCAGGACCCTCAGCTGGTGTCGCTTTGCGCTTGCCAGCCGTGTCGACGCACTTGCTGCAGATGCGGTGCTTTTCGTCGTCCTCAAACATGCTGCCGCAATTGCCGTGGAGCCGCCCGCCACACCCTCCCTTGCAGACCGGGCCATGAGGGGCTTGCGGCGTTCTTCTTGATGATGGCGGCACAGTTCACCGTCCGCACAAGGCTGCGTGAGCTGTCGGCTCTGCAGCACCACGTGTACTCTGGTTTCTGTGTTGCTTCTGTCCGCTGTCTTATCCGTGCGTATTTTTTTTACTAGCATCGACCTCGTTAACCGACTGACCAATGGTCAGTCTTGTGCGATTGAAAAAATAAAACACTTGTAGACTAGTCTTCATGTCACTAACTGGGACGCCATGAGGGGGCGGCTTGAGGGAGGCTAAGCTATTTCCAGATCGAAGACAACGGTAGCTACAGAAGATTTGCACGTACGTGTCGATGAAGGCTGCTACCTTGCACTCTAGTTCGTTCTGGAGTGTCACCGCCATCCTCCTTCCTTCCAACTCCATCGTTCTCATGTCGTTTGTGTGTGTGTCCAACCTGCACTATAGCGGGACTGTCCTGCACTATTGAGGGCGCTGTCTGTGTCCAGAGATTTCTCCTGCATTATACCGGGCACCTTCACTATTCAACCTACACTATAGAGGGCCCAGTACTGTATTGAGTGCGCTTTGCTTAGTCGCGAGTAGCAATGGTGATGTGCAGCAGCAGTGTGTGGCGGTGTTGCACACAAGGCTTGCAGAAATTGCGCCGCATCACTGACACTATTTTAGTCATGTTTTAGGGTCCGGGGGTATGCACTGGATTTGATGAATATTTTTTCCCGGGGTAAGGCAGTAGTGAACCATACATAAGACAAGATAAAGTAAGTACCTCAGGGATACCCAACCATGCTGAGGAGGTTGATTAAGTACTTCAGGGATACTCAACCATACTCAGGAGGTTGAGTAAGTGTTCAAGAAATACTCATCGATACTCAGGAGGTCCAGTAATTATTTCAAAACTACTCATGCGTACTCAGACTTGAGTAATTTACTCAACCTTTAGAATCCTTGGGTAAATATTTCAACAATACTCAACTTGTACTAAAGCCATTGAGTTAGCATTGAAAAATATTCATCCGTACGTGGATTTTTGAGGAAGCATTTCAGTACTCCGGAGGTTGAGGAAGTGTTCCAAATTTACTCCCGCGTACTCAGCTACTGAGTATTTTACTCAACCTTTTCTTATTCTTTAGTAAGTATTCCGAAAATTACTTATCCGTTCTCAAGTGTTTCAGTAAGTATTTGAAAGCTACTCAGCCGTCCTCACCAAACGAGTTTGAGTATACTTCCTTACAATACTTTTAAGTACGGCGTTTAGTAAAACTTTACTTGACACGCCCTTGCAGCTTTCCTAGTGTACGCTCAGTACGGGAACAAAAAACAGCGCAAAAAGTGTTGGAACTTTATCTCGGGAGCTCGAGGTTGCAATATGGAGAAAAAGCCCTGCAACGCTGCGACGAAGGTGTCGAACAAAAGATGCGCGGCGCAACTTCCGCCAATCCACGTCAAGCGCTTACCCCTCTATCACACACGTAGACCTTGTCCAGGTTCGGTTGTGGGAAGGCTGTGATCACCGATATCTCGAATACGTGATGAGTTGCCTCAAGAATGGTATCTGGGAGGAGGTGGTGCCATGGGCTGTGGGGCAATGCGAAGGTTTGGGACCGTGAGATGCCGAATGCGCCGGGAAAACAAATATACTGACGCAACGACCGTCAACGGTCGCGAGCGGTCAGTTCAAGTTGAATGTTTTTGACCGCCACGGGATCGGTTATCCACCGACAACGTTCCGAAGGAGGAAGCAACAGCAAAGCAAGGCACTTCAGCGGGAGGTAGCTCTCTGCTCCATCTCTCATGCTCAAGGTTTGGTGCCGTGGGGTATCGTGCGCGCCGGGATTTTTTTTTTTGATCGACCCGAACATACCCACGTCAGAGAGGGGTTGGTTCAAATTCGCGAGGATTGTGTGCTCATGGTTGGTTTTCCAGCGATAACTTTTTGGAAAAGGCAGCAGCAACGGCAATGGCACTTCGAGGAAGGTAGCTCTACCCAGCATCTTTCTGACACCAGGTTAGATGTCTGGGGTACCGGGAGTGTGGAGAAGAAAGGTTGCATCAAACCTCTCCCGCACGCTCCGACCGGTTTTTTCGCGGTGCGACGTGAAAGTTAAAACGCCTTCTTGGTGTTGAAAAGGAAGGAAGCATTTCCGGGCTAGTCCTGCCCTCTGGAACAATTTGACTCTGTGATTGAATTGACACCATGGATTCTCATGTTCTCCTCGAAGCTTGTGCTCGGGGCTCTTGCGAGCAGAAAACATTTGCCTCGAGGACATTTGGAAAAGTATGGAGATGCAGTGGCCGTCGCCATCTTGTTTCCACCGATGGTGATGTACTGGTTGCACAAACCAGTAGATTCCACATGCGATCGTGCTTCTACTGCTAGGCCGCGACATAACGGACACGGCATCCAACCGCGTGTGCGTGATGATGAGCAGGTTGCCGTTGCAAAACACATGATGGGTTTATCCTGGCGCGTGCTCGCAGGCAGTGTTCGCTTTTTTTGCAATTTTCGACATACCACAGCGTCATGTAACGATACGCCTGTCGGCTCTTCACGAATTGCGTACATGCGAGGTACGTGATGATTGAGTCCGCCCCCCGCTTCCGTTCTCAAGCCTGAAACAATAAGCAACAAAAACAGCTAGTCCCAGACTCGCAACGCCGACGATATTCGTCGGCTTGCTTTTAACAATCTAAGACAGCACCGTCGTTCAACGGGCATACCAAGACTTCATTTATGCATTCAGTAGCCGAAATTGGCACACAGGCGGATGCCGACGCTGCAGTAGACAATCAAGTGGGTGAGTGGGTGTGTAAAGTGCTGGGAAGCACGATGACCACTATTGGAGTCTCGGCAAATTCCGCAAATAGTTCGGCAATAGCCGCGGCGATACAAAAAGCCGCGGCCGATTGCTCGCGCGATGCAAGTCTTTCGTTCGTCGTAGCCGATCACCACGCACCCACGTATAAAGAGAAGCGGTTCAAATGAAAGCGGACCTCGGATTGGAGGCAGAGCCCTGCCTCAGCAGGGTATTTTTTTTTAATCCAAAGAAAACACCCTGTTTCAATTGCATCACCTCGCCATGTCTTTTTCGATCATGATGTCGACTCGAAACCCCTCCCCGACAGGCCTCTTGCCCTTGTTTCTTTGAAGCCAAGCCTAAAGTGCCCGCTCGATATGTTTCCCGCAGAGGTGGAGCCATGGCGCGAAAGGGAAGGAAATGTGTCCCCAGCTACATTGCCGTGGCTTATGCATCGCTTGGAGCACTCAGCCTGTGCGGGACGACAACATCCTTCGTTTTGCGACAGAACCTAATAGTGACACCCAAGGCAGGGCGGTACCTGCGAGAAGGCGAACCAAAGGAGGCGACAAGGAAGGGCTCGGCAACCATGGCCACCTCCGTAAAGGTGAGATGTTTGCACTCGAGGGAACACAAGTAACAATTTAAATTCTTGTAACTCACTATATATACAGAGGATGACCATTGAAAACAGAGCGAGCGCCTCTGGGGCTAGAAGAGCGGCGTACAACAACGTCCCATAATCCATTTGTGGTTAGATATGGAACCTATCATTGACGGCTGCGTACAAGCCATTAGAACCCCTCTCGCGAGGAATATTTCCATGTCGTCTAGAACTATTGGCAATGTTGCAACGATTGATTTGGTCTAGTTACCGCTGTTTGTTAAAAATACAGTACATATATTACGACTTAGCAGACCACGCGCTGGCTCGAGGGGGGGGTAGTTTGACCTAGCATACGACTACACGTGCGGTGGACTAGCCAAACCATGGCCAACAAACAGCAGTAGACTGCTGTGTGACTACATCCACATCAGTATAGCGTACAACGGCTCGCACGTACGACCACGCATCATAGGCACACACATTCACAGGTACTGCTGATGCAGGTGCACACGTTTGTAGCTGACAGAGCTGTGTGTGTGCATCTCTCCCTGTGTGTGCATTTGTATGTAGCTGCGGCAGCCAACGGGTGAGTGACGTCAACCCAGCAGATCACGCGTAAGAGATCCATCTGCTGTCACCTCCATTTGTGAGCGTACAACGAGTTCCACGACTACCCATGAAAGCACCTGCAGAGGAGACTTTATCTACTGTACTTCTGGTGCTGGTCCTGGTGCTGGTGCACACGTTTGTACTCACAGAAGCTGTGTGCGTATCAATTGCTGTGTGTGTAGCATAGGATCTGCAACTA